AGTGTATATTTAGATAACACTGCTTATGTCAACTATAATCCCAGCACCTAGGAAGGCTGTGGCAGGAGGATAAAAAGTTCAAGGACAACCTGGACTGCTTGGTGAGACTCTCTGTCAAAAAAAAAAAAAAAAGGCTGAGGTTATAGCTCAGTGGTAGAGTACTCCTGGGTTCAATTCCCAGTAGAGTGTAATAGTCATCCACGATTTCTGTTGAATATAACCCTTGCTGCTCTGCCACTGCCACTTATTTTTAAAATGGACATGTTTCTTTCTCTTCCACTGCCACAGTCTGGCTGGGCACAAATCATGAGCCACTCAAGCAGGAACAAACTTTATTTCAGAACTCCCCCAAACGCCATCCACGCGTCCCTTCCAGGAACACCACACACCAACCGGAACTCCCTCCACCGGAACTTCCCCAACCAATGTGAACTCTCCAGGAATCCCTGAGAGAGCTCAACCGGAACTCAAGGGGAACTCCGTGAGAACTCAAAAGTAGCCGGCGCCTGCCGCCCTATTGCCCCTATTGCCCCTATTGCCCCTATTGCCGGACAGCAGGGGTCTAATATACAACTGAATACCCAGCCTGTTTCAATCCAGCATCATCCAGTCACAGCAATTATACACAGCTTAACTTAATTATCATCATCTTAATGGCTCGCTGGCAGTCACCTCTCAACCATTACTTCTGACAAAATGCCAGGGGCCATTCCAACTCGGCTGTGGCTCTCAACATTCCACTCTACCTGCTCCTCCCTAATATTAGGGGAAACAGCATTACCTTTCTTCCATCCTATGCAGAATTATCTGTCCTTGAGTATACACCCTTCATAGGAACAAAGTAATCCAGACTTTGGGGATGGTACCAGAAGATCTCAGAAATATTTCCCAAATTGACAAGTGAATTATAACTCCAATGGAGAACATGGGAATGTAGCCCTTGAGCCACCTCTTTTAAAAAAGCCCCCTGTTCCCGCTGAGGGGCAGAATCACAGCCTTTGGGACAGGAGTCCCCTGTGTTTCTCCTGTACTAGCAAAGCAATAAACATTCTTTTTCCTTTTTCTCCAAACCATATTCTCATTATTGAATTGGTATCAGGGACAAGGACTGAGCTTTCAGCAACAGTGGGGGAAGAAAAAGATAAAAACAATTCTACCTTTTTCCTCTAAAGAGTATGGACATGTAGATCTAGATAAGTAGATATACAAAGACTTGTAGATTTAGAAATAGTGATAGAGAGCAGTAGGGAGGGAGGAGTTGGGGGTAACATAGATGCAAAAACAAATTTACATAAAGTTATACATAAAAAAAAAAATTCAGAGCTAAGGGCTGGAGTTATGGCTCAGTGGTACAGCACTTGCCTGGCATGTGTGAGGCCCTGGGTTCAATCCTCCACACTGCATATAAATAAATAAATAAGCAGATAAATAAATAAATAAAAGATCCATTGACAACTGAAAATATATATATTAAAAACAAAACAAGGGGCTGTAATTGTGGCTCAGCGGTAGAGCGCTCACCTAGCATGTGTGAGGCCCGGGGTTCAATCCTCAATACCACATAAAAATAAAGATATTGTGTCCAACTACAACTAAAACAAATATATTTAAACAAAACAAAAAAACAAACAAAAACAAAACAAAAACCTCAGAGCTATAGATCTGTGTGTAGCAGTGCAGGATCCACCACATTCACATGGACCTGCACAAACTGTATAAAGAAATAGAATGTAAATTGGCAAGGTGAACAGAAAGGTAATGTAAGGGTAAAAGAAATTGAAGTTAAAGTGTAAAAGTTAAAGTGTTAAAGACCGGGCATTGTAAAGTTTCTAGGCTGCAAGGCCTGAGTTAAAATGTAAAGGATTAGGTATTGTTAGAACCTGAAATTCCTGTAGCTGTTAAGACAATGCTTGGAACCACCCAGTAAATATTCCCCCTGACTGCTTGGTTGTTTAATAATTCAGGGCTCTGTATGATCTTGCACGTAGGCATTGCAGGGCCTGGACCAATCAGTTTGAATGTGTACCCTGTTTAGAACTGACCTATCACCCCCACCCGACCTGTTCCCGCCAATGAATGAACTAATCATGTTTAGGAATTGTTGTTTGATTTTCCCGCGGTGTATGATGATTTGTTAAAGGAGACTGTGATGTATGTAAAATCCCCGCCCTCCAAAAAGTGTACTTAAGCAGCGTTCAGCCCCTGCTAGGGGCTCTGGGCTGTTCTCCCTTCTTGAGTGGGCACGGAGCCCTAGCATGCTAGATCAATAAATCCCCTTCTGCCAATTGCATGAGTGGTCACTTGGTGGTCTCTTTCTCCGAAGCTTCACCGGACCCTTACAGTAATATTTTCCAAAGATATTTTTATTATTATATCGATGTAATCCTACATACACCTTCATACACAGTAATGATTTTACAAGTTATAATTTTGAAAGAAAGAAGACAAAACGTTTTAGTTAGCTTTTGCATCACTGTGCCCAAAATACCAGACAAGAATAACTTAGAGGAGGGAAAGTTTATTTGGGGCTCATGGTTTCAGAGGCTTAGTCCTAACAGCCGACTCCATTGCTCTGGGTCCAAATGAGGCAACACATCATGTAAGAAGGTCCCAGCCGGGCACTGAGGGCACATGCCTATAATCCCAGCAGTTTGGGAGGCTGCAGTAGGAGAATCAAAAACTCAAAACCAGCTTCAGCAATTTAGCGAGGCCCTGTCTCTAAATAAAAAAATAAAAAAGGACCAGATGTGGCTCAGTGGTTAAGTGCCCCTGGATTCAATTCCCTGTATCAAAAGGGGGAAAAAAAAAACAGAGGAGGAAAATCAAGGTGGGGTCAGGGAGAGAGATGGAGGCAAAGGGGCCTCAGGGAAGATGCACCCTCCCAGGGAACACCCTAGGGACCCATCTCCCCCAGCTACACCTTGCCTGCCAACAGTTTCCTGTCATTGCATTTAAATTAGGATAGACAGATTAGGTACAGCTGTCATAATTCAATCATTTTATCTCTGAATATTCCTGTATTAACGGGAGCTTTTGGGGACACCTCACATCCAAACCAAAACACAAAATAAGGATGGTTACCCCAAAAGTTTTAAGTTTATATAATTTACTTGTAATAAAGTGAGGAATTACAGGATTATGTACACACATACATACATAAGTATATATTTGAAAACCTATTAACATAGAAAAAGTTAATAGATTTTTATTCAGTGATTTTATGATGTTATTATAATTTCCTTGTAATTGATTTGTTTTTGTGGTACTAGGGATTGATTGAACCTAGGGACACTCTACTACTGAGCGACATCTTCAGACTTTATTTTTATTCTGAGGCAGGTCTAGTAAAGTTGCCCTGGGTTGGCCTTAAACTTTCAATCTTGCTGCCTCAGGCTCTGGAGTTGCTGGGAGTATAGGTGGGCACCACCATTCCTGGTTAATTTTTGTGTGTTTTAAATGTTCAATGGAAAAAAATACATTTACATGAAAAATACTCAGCATTATGGATACGTCCTCATTCATTTAACCCCTTCCCTTATTGATGGATGCTAAGGTGTCCAGTTCCCAGTTGGAACCCTCAGAACTTAGGGAGGAAAGAAAAAGCTCTTGCTCACTTTTTTTTTTTTTTGGCAGTGCTGAGAGTCCAACACAGGGCCTTGCACATGCTTGTGCTCCACCCCCAGCCCCCTTTGTTTTCTTTTGTTGGTACCACGGATTGAACCCAGGAGCACTTAACCACTGAGCCATATCCCCAGCCCTTTTTATTTTATTTTTTGAGACAGGGTCTCAATAAGTTGCTGAGGCTGGCTTTGAATTCAGGATCCTCCTGCCTCAGCCTCCCAACCCACTGGGATTACAGGCATGAATTACTGTGCATGGCTTTTCCCCTTAATTTTAAGATAGGGTCCTGCTAGGTTGCCCAGGCTGGCTTGAAGGAGCCAGGAACTTGCAATCCTCTCACCTCAGCTTCCTGAGTAGATGGGATTACAGGGACACCACCACCAGCCCCCCCCCCCCCCCCAAAAAAAAAACCACTCACTTTTATAAACATACAACATGAAGAAATATAGTATTCCCTCACTTTCTATAATACTTATTTCAAATTTATCTCAGTGCCATGCCAGAAGGGAATAAATGAATGCTGACAGTATCTCTTCTTGGCCTGTTATCTTTGCTTCGCCTCCATTAGAACTTGTGGATTTCTCAAACTGGAAGATGCTTTTTTCAGAAGGATTCAGCAGATGTGTATGCTGCCTGCTGCCCTTGGTGTTTCCAAGGCAATACAGATACAGAGCTTTAGGCACCATGAGTTAAGAAGATACCACTGCCCATAACAGACATCCATTTGGGTTCCCAGTCATCTTATCTTACCCCTGGCACTGGTCTTGCTTCAAGATAGGATGTCCTCACTATTCATTGTCTATTAATTGTACTGATTCTGTTCAGATGCAGGGTGCACACCTGTAATTCCAGAGACTCGGGAGACTGAGGGAGGAGGAAACAAGTTCAAGGCCAACCTTGGCAACTTAGTGAGACCTGTCTCAAAATAACAAATAAAAAAGGGGCTAGGTACAAGGCTCAGTGGTAACCCTCCTTCCCACTACCAAATAAGTAATAAATTGTATCAATTCTGAATCAAAACGAAAGAGGCCTGCCTGGACCAGTTACATGAGATTGACATCTTCCTCCTGGAGCTAAGGCCATGGTTAGCCTTGCAGCATATGAAGCAGAACCTGACAATCTTCTCCAATGAGAGGTTGGTGGGGTCTGAAAGGGTCCCCTTTCTGTAGATCAGAATTAGTGGTGCACGCCTGTCATCCCAGTGATTTGGGAGGCTGAGGCAGGAGGATCGCAAGTTCAAAGCCAAAACCCTAAGCAACTTAGTAAGACCCAGTCTCTAAATAAGTATATTTTTTAAAAAGCTGGGAATGTGGCTTAGTGGTCAGTGTCCCTGCGTTCAATCCCTGGTACAAAAAAAAAAAAAAAAAAAAGAAAGAAAAGAAAAGAAAATAATTTACTGAGATTCTATAGATGACAGGAGTTCATCTAAAGACTCGAGGTTTCTACATATTGCTGGTGCAGTTGGTAGAGCAGATGAGATGACTCTCCAGCTGACCTTGCAGTTGGCCACACATCTGTCTCACTGTATCTCTTCAAGTGGTTCCCATTCCTCAATCAGAGCTTGGCGGCCCTGGTCCCACCACTGCATGACATAAGATATGTCAATGGGACCCAGACCCTGTGGTTTCTTGTTCTCAGGATTAGGTTGAGAATGGTCCTTCAATGGTATGACTCCTATGCCAGTTTGTTCTTTGTGATTTTGGTATTCTTCTTGGAATTGGATCCAGAAAGGAACCCGAGTATCCGAGATGTCCCCTCTTGGAGTCAGCAGTTCTGGCAGGTGATTCATAAAAGTGAGAGGCAGGTCAGAGTTCTCTCCTCTCTGCACAGCTTGGGTGGGCTGCATGATCCCAGAGGACAGAAGAGGAGTAGGTGAAACTGTTTGGTTGTCAGGGAAGGAATCAGAAGAAGGCAGATAATAACTCCCATCTGGGTGTATAAACAGATCTGTTTCCTGCAGTTGATTAGTCAGATCTGGTCTCCCATTTGTGTCATCTACCAAGAAATTTTTGGGCTCCTTTCTGCTCCAGTCAGGGTCCAGATATCTTTGGTCCTGAAACCATATTTAAGTGAGGAACAGGGAGATGCGAACATCATAAAACACAAGTAATTCTAGCTCTGCTTCTTATACTCTGTAAAGAAAGAGACTATTAACATAGGCCTGATCACAGGATACATCTAACTTTTGTGTGTGTATGTGTGTGTGTGTGTGTGTGTGTGTGGTGCTGGAGATTGAACCCAGGGCCTTGTGCATGTGAGGCAAGCACTCTCCCAACTGAGCTATATCCCCAGCCCTTGATCACAGAATACATCTGAAAAACACTAGTAAACACAAGTGTTTTTGAGTTTCTGGGCCACAAGCTTATAAATGTACTTCCTAAGTCATGAGAATTTAACATACATACAATAAATAAGTGCCCATATCACTTAGGTAGAATAAGTAGATAGTTTTGCCTCTCAATGGAAGGACATTTGACTATGTCTGCAAATCTTTCTGGCTGTCACAAATGGGGATAGGGAAATGGTTATAGATAGACTGCACTGGTATCTACTTGGTAAACACAGGAATGCAGAGAAATGACCTACCATGCACAGAACAACACCTTAGAAGGAAGACTAATCTAGTCTAAAATGACCATGCTGCTGAGTTTTTATAGGAAATCTAACAGAGTCTTCTTAAAACAGGTATTAATTTTCACATTTCCCATTTTTCCTGCTTCTAATTGAAACGGGTACCTCTTAAATGGGTTTGCAAATTCTTCCTTTGCAGGAATGTGACTTACAGTGCTGAGTGCTTACCATTCCATACCTTTGTCCCCATGACTGTGACAACCCAAGATAGCCCAAAGTTCCAGTCACACCTGTAGGGGCGATATCACTTTCAGGGAGGACATAATGGGGCCACAAACAACTCACCTGAATCTGCAATTCCTGAATGTCTGCTGGTTTAGCCAGTTTTTCCCTGGTAGCAACATCAGGGACTTGGTTCCTCTCAAAGGCTTGAACTAGGGTCCTTCTTTGAGTTCTTGCGAGGGGTATGTGGTCTTGCTTGGCTTCTTTTGTTAACCATTCTAAAGGAGAACACAGGAAGGAAGGGGGTGTTTTAGGTCAGCTCTCACATTCAAGCCAGAAGATAATGCTGCTGAAATTTACTCTCTGAATTTTGCCACCTCCAGAAGAGGTCACTGTGCTGCCGAGCAGCAGTCAACCCAAAAGATCCAAAACTTTGTTTGCTGAGAAACTCCCTGTCCTGGCCAGCTATGGGACAAGGTTATATATTTGACCCTTGAGTGTCCATAACAAATTGTAACTAGTTCCTAGGCTAAGCAATCTTTATGTAGAATTTGGGCACAACATGCAGTCATTTCTACTCAGTGGGATTGAGGAACTATACTAGTTTGTGTTTGTTTTTTGGTACCAGGATTGAACCCAGGGGTGTTCTAAGACTGAGCCACATCTCCAGCCCTTTTTGTTTTTTTGAGACAGGGTCTCAATTGATGTAACGTGGAGCATGTTGCATCAGAAAAGAGGAAACTTAACTTGCTGGCTGCTACCCGCTTCCCAGTCCTGGGGCCACAGGTGGCTAAGAGAGCACCTAGCGATTAGCCAGAAGGCATTGCCCTGGGTTGTGATGAAGAATCAGACCACCTCTAGGATAGGCTCAGAACCCTTCTGCCCTCACAGATATTACTGCCTGTAGGATGGGTATAGATGTAAATTCTCCCCACCCTGCTGACCTTTATCCTGATTGGCTCCTGTACATTATATTAGCTGTGTATGTTTTCTCATTAAATGAGATCCTGCTTTGACAGTTCTCCCTGGCGCATCTGCTTGTCCTCCAGGGAGGGAGGGCTGGGTGTGGGCGGCCAGCCGACCTTTACCTTTCTTGGCCTGTCCTGGTGGGGCGTGCTCCCTCAATCTCTCCCACAGGTCAGGAGGGAATGGGGGGCTAAAAACCTAATAAACTCAATAAACTGCTTAAAGCTTCACTAAGTTGCTGAGGTTGGCTTTCAAACTGTGATCCTCCTGCCTCAGCCTCCTGAATCACTGGGATTACAGGTGTGTGCCACTGTGTGCCCAACGAGGAATATGGAACCCAAATATGGACCGGTGGGTTCTTACCTTGCATCTGTAACTGAGACTGGTTATGTCCCTGGATTGGGTCTTTTCCTAAGGAGCATGCAGACTCCAATTTTCTCTGTCTGCTTCTTCGGTTTCTAAACCAAGTCTAAGTGGAAAAAGATGTGAGGGTGTGATGGAGATACCAGACCTGATCAGAACATTATATGAAGAACCAATGCCTGGGGAAAGAGTTAATTCTCTTATATTTTGTAACTTTCTGAACTCTTAGAAATGTAGCTACCTCATTTAATTGCTAGGCCAATTAACTGCGGTCTAAACTATAACCTTGTAGGCTTAGTCCTTAGAACTAGAGCTCTTAGGGAGGTAAACTCAAGTTATCTTGAGTTACTCTGCTGTGGGAAGGCCACTGTGGGATAACACTCGCAGGTGTTTTGCTGTCTTTGTTCTATGCCTGTGAACTATTCATCGTAAATTCCCTGTACATGGTCTTTGGTCACGTAGGCCAAGATTTCAAACTCACCAATGTTATCATAGTTAAGAAATGATGTCAAATTTCCTATAAAATCTCCACGTAACCTCAACTTGGGGCCCAGAACTCCAGAGCACTAGCTCATCTGGGAATTTGAGGTAAATAAACCTGAGTTCTCCAACCCTCAGAGCGGTGCTTGGTCTCTTGCTGAAAGTGATTTCCATAACAAAAGCCATGTATCTCAGTCTGTGGCATTCTAAGTCTCAATTCAATTAAACCAAACTAATTTAACTGTTTGCCTTTGGAATTATACCCTAAAGAGAAAGACAATGCTTTATCCTAGAGAAGATGCTACTGCTAGAAAACAATTGAGGAACCAAAGAGAGACAGCAATGCGTGTGGTCAGCCTCATGTTATCCAAAATAAATTTCCCTGATTTAAGAGACCCTGTTGGTTCTCTCAAAGAATTTCTCCGGCTTTTTGTCTCTTTCTTTCCAAGCAGGACTTCAATGTCTGAATGCCTTTTCTTGGCCCCACGATTGCATCATAAGAAATGTAATATGGAACCCAAATATGGACCCGTGGGTTCTTAACCTTGCATCTGTAACTGAGACTGGTTATATCCCTGGATTGGGTCTTTTCCTAAGGAGCATGCAGACTCCAATTTTCTCTGTCTTTCATATAATACTTACAGCATGGATCATAGAAAGGAATTTCTTTAGATGGGGTAGCAGTATTAGCCACACTGCAGAGCCACACTGCAGAGCTGGGCTAACATTCATCCATATTTATTCTTATTTCATCTAAGAGTTAACGATAGACAAAAATTCTAGGGACTTGGACACCTTGCTTTGTCACTATTGTCACTAACACAACCAGCTGAATTCTTTGCATGTTTCCACATGACTGGAAACAGGATTGAAACATACTTTCTAATTTCTTTTGAGTGTTTAATTTCTATAATTTTTATTGAGAAGACTTAGGATATTAACGACAACCAGTACTTGATGAACAACTCACATCCTATGCGTTGTGCCAAAGGTTATATCTCTTAACTAATTCATCAAAATATTTTCAGAAAAGAAAACTGAAGCACAGGTGGAAACTGGAAACTAATTAATAGATTAGCAAACACCATGACAGACCAACCTCATCCCATACTGTTTCCTGGATTTGCCATGCTTGCTATCAGTTTAAATAGGCCCAGCACCTCTCAAAACCAACTACCAGATATTACCATAGGATATACTTTTGTTACTCAGTTTGAATAAACTGTCTCCCACACCCAGTTCCAATACTTGAAGAAATAGGTAAAATATCTGCTTCCTTGGATCCTCTTAGACCAAGGCCCTATAGCCAGTGGCTTCTATTAGACTATGCATTTGATTAAAAACAAAATTCAGAACTCATTATTTTCCTCTAAAAACATTTTTATCTGACCTTCATATTGATTTAAATACTGTTTCTACCTGGTATAGTGACATTCTTTTTAGGTATCTTTTTGATAACTGAAAGACTATAACTTAGTTTCATTTTTTTAAAAAATATTTTTATTTTTTAGTTGTAGTTGGACACAATACCTTTATTTTATTTATTCATTTTTAGATGATGCTGAGGATCGAACCCAGGGCCTCGCACGTATTAGGCGAGCGCTCTACTGCTGAGCCACAACTCCAACCCCTTAGTTTCATTTTTACATCAGTAATTATATTAAAAGTGATTCAATATGAGACTTTAGACACTATGTATGAATGACATCTGAGACATTAAATTAAAAAGAAAAAGCTAGCTTGAGAATTGGGGATTGGCACAGTTCCTTTGTGATTATTCATTAGTAATTTTCCTGTAATAGGTATTCTAATACTCCAATTTCCTATACTCTTTAAATTTCAAAATGATTCAATTATATCAAAATATGATTTACTGAGGAGAACTTGAGCATGTATATTCTTCCTCCTCTATCCCTGAACACACACCAATGATATTTCTATTATCGGTGAAAGATACAAACTGGTACTGTGTAACAGGAGAAACCTTTTTAGCCAAGTACCTGACACAAGTGAATTACCTTTAAGGGCTGAGACTTGCTTTTCTCTTTTTACTTTGTCTCTGACAATAGAAACCTAATGCCTACCCGAATTTTAGATTCTGGAATATCAATTTCCTTGGCCAGTTGTTCCCTGGTAGCTTTATTAGGGTGAGGGTTTTGTTCAAAACACGCCTGCAGGGCTTTCCTTTGGCTCTGGTTGTAGACCATCCTCTCTTGCCACCAGGTATCCTTTTTTTCAGTGTACCAGATGAGGTGAGAAGGGAGAGAAGAGTAAAAAGGATAAGAAAAAAAAAAGTTAGTCCTAGAATTATTGCCAAAGATAACAACCCTAAATAATTAAGCTTTTTTTTTTTTTTTTTAAAGACCAGAGATGGAAAACCTAGATAGCCAGATTGCTCCATTTTTTCCCATTTACAGAACAAGTCTCCATTCTCTAATTTTTACTAGGACAAAGCCATGGTATAGAAAAAAAATAAATTCCCTTCCCCCACCTTTTTTTTCCAAAAGAAATCCTCTGCTTTAAAATAATTCTAATTATTTAGTATGCACTCAAGGGGTGAGATCTCAGGAATATACACTAAATTACCCATAATATTTTTATTTTTTAAAATGGTACCAGGGATCGAACCCGGGGGCGTTTTGCCACTGAGTCATACCCCAGCACTTTTTAAATATTTAATTCAGAGACAGGGTCTCACTGAGTCTCTTAGGACCTTGCTAAATTGCTGAGGCTGGCTTTGAACTTTTGATCCTCCTTCCTCAACCTCTTCCTGGGCAGCTGGGATTACAGGTGTGTGCTACCACACCTGGCCTATCTACAATCTTCAAATAAAACCGACATAGGCCTGGGGGAACCCTTTAAGTCCCACCCAGGATTGGACTTTTTAAATCCATTGGGGTATTCTCCATGGGTCTCCATGAAGATCAGACCTTCTGGTCTGTCCCAAATTATCTACAAATTAGTGGCAATGTAATAAATGTCCTTGTCCCAATTGTATAGTTTTCAGGGTGCTTGATAGCCCCCTTAGGCCTCAAGAAAGAACATCCTTAACCTCTCAAGTAGTCCAGGTGCACTGAAGAACTTTCAATTTTTGTTGTTATTATTATTTTAAATAGCAAGGGCACAAAAATCTTGGAGAAATTTTTTTTGTTTTGTTTTTTTAATGAACACAATACCTTTATTTTATTTGTTTATTTTTTATGTGATGCTGAGTATCAAACCCAGTGCCTCACCGTGCTAGGCAAGCATGCTACCACTGAGCCACAAACCCAGCCAGATTGCAGAGAATTTTGAGGCACTTTGGGATAAGAAAAATTCAGGGTGTGGTGGCATACACTTGTAATCCCAGCAACTCAGGAGGCTGAGGAAGGAGGATTGCAAATTTGAGGTCAGCCTTGGCAACCTAGTGAGGCTCTGTCTCAAAGTAAAAAATAAAAAGCTGAGGATGTAGCTCAGTGGTAAAGCATCCCTAGGATCAACTCACAGTTTAAAAAAAAAAAAAAAGTCAGGTAACTTTTAATAGAAAGAGATTTATAGCTGGAGTTTTATCTCACGACCAAGAAGGACAGATGCCTCCTGGCTATCTTATGCTTTCTGGTGAGATCTGATAAAACAAGATGTATCTATGTAAAGCAACTGTTGCCTTTTCTGCCCTTGAAGGTGGGTGGGGCCTTCATTCTTTGGGTGTTTATCTAGACTAAAATAAAAGGACAGAGAGGACATTTTCTTTCAGGGAGATATCTAGTAAAGGACAGGTCAAGATTGGAAAACTTCTCTACCCAGACACTAAGTACAGAGAATGTGAAAACAAACATAAGAATCATCACGATTTAGTTAAAGCAAAGGTCTGAGAATACTTCCCAGCTGACAGTAGCTGCACAGAACAGAGTGGTTTTAGCTGGAGCAGGGAACAAGCCACTGTACAGAGTTTAGGAACGACAGGGCCAGGGGTCTTCCTCAGAACTTAAGTTCTAGCAGAGACTTAGGGTTGAGAGATTTATGGCAGAAGTTAGAGTCGAGAGATTGGCCACTAGTGTAAGCGGTCTGAACATGGTGTTTAAATGAGAGTCATTTCAAGACCGGGTCCCTCCAACAATGGGTCTCAGGTGAACCCACTGTCAGCAAAATGAGGGGGCGCTCAACCAACCCCTCATATGCATCTTCCAGATGCGCAGTTTAAGTTCCCTCTGACCCAGAACAGGATATGTTGGCCTAAGGGTGACTCCTATCTTTGGAGCTTTTATAATAATGCACACATATTCTAAGGAAGAAAAGAGCATTAAGCCCAGGAAAGGAAGAAGGAAAAAAAATATCACCAACTTAAGGGTGAGAAACCTATGCAATCCCACTGTGAAATGTGAGAAGAGAAAAAAAATCTCAAAGCTCATTTTGGGTTTCAGAGTTCACCTTATTGCCAAGGGAATCTACAGACTTGGGGTCTGTAGACTGGGGTTATACTCTCTGGTTTTTGAAAATGAAGGAGAGAGATTATAAGTACAGGGGGGAGGCTAACAGAATAAATCACATTCAAGACAGAATATTTACGAAGACTTACCAAAGTGGATGCCTCAGAAGAGCCCCGGATAGGCCACCCAGAGAGGTTGCGGGAGAAGAGATGTCTGGGAAAAGGTCCAAGGAATTCCCAGAGACACGTTCAAGGGAGAACAGGGGCAATCTCAAAAGAGAGACTTCTTTGCGGAACAGCTAGGGACGTACACTTAGAGAATGCAGGATACCTCGGAGAGACAGCAACCTGCTGGAGTGGCCTGTTAATCTAAAGTGCCAGGCTAGGAGCTGGACAAAGGGAGGAGGCAGGGTGGAGCTATAGGGTTTCACGCAGGTTTGCCTTCCGCTGACACATCCCCTCCTTTTACAAGGGTTTGTCAACCCAGATTTCCAACTGTGCTTTCTGCATCTCAATAGCTGTGGGCGTTTCCTTTAGGACTCAGTGCTTCTCTCCCTTTATCCTAAATCCCTATCTTTGCAATATCATTAAATAGTATATATTAGGTAGTTCATGCATTTTGTTCCCCCTTCGCTTACAGTATCAACTTTCAGACTTTAAGCAGATGACCCATGTACAGATCTCACGGCTCTCATCCTATATTTGAAATTCAAATTTCAACCTTAAAACACTCATCAATCCCCTGACACAATATGTTGCTGAAAGGCAGCGCCTTCTCCAACAATCTTGTCCCTCTAACTGTGCTTATATTTTAAACTTCTACAATCTCTGAAAAATAACTGTGGCATCTGTCATTGTCAAAGAAGAGAGCAAAAAGCTGATAGAAGTCCGGTGTGGTGGTGCACGCTTATAATCCCAGCTACCTGGGAGGCTGAGACAGGTGGATGGCAAATTTTGAGGCAAGCCTCAGCAATTTAGTGAACCACTGTCTCAAGATAAAACAACACAAAAAGGGCTGGAGATACAGTTCAGTAGTAGACCACTTGCCTAGCATGAGTGAGGTCCTGGGTTCATCCCCCAGTACTGCAAACAATATCAACAAAAATAAAATAAATAGGGGCTGTGGCTCAGCAGTAGCACACTTGGCCTGGCATGTGTGAGGCACTTGGTTCGATTCTTAGCACCTCATATAAATAAACAAAATAAAGATCTACCAACAACTAAAAAAAGTTTGCCAATGGAAACTTACCACTTGAAATGATGTTCACATCCATTTTGGGAAGAGGACCTAAATCCAGAGGGATGAGTGGGCAATTGAGCCCCTTCCCAATACTGGAGACATCAAAGCCTAGGAAGACCCAACCCTTTCTTAAATACCTTTATATTTAACCCTTTCTTAAGTGTTTAACACCTTTGGAAAGAAACTTAAAGCAATCACTGAAGGATATGGAGAATAAGTCCAAGGACCTTTTCCTTTTCTATAGCTCTTCCACTTCCACCTGGTAAGGAGTCAAATTGAAGATTTTGTCATTTAAAATCCCAGGCCTCAGCCGGAGTGAAGGAACACAAAAGGAACCTGACTGGTACCTGACCCCCCACCCTAATGGGTCAGCTGACCCCAATATGATAAGTCCCAGGAAATTCCCTATTCCTGTCCCACTCTAATGGATCCAATGAATCCTAGGAACTACCCTCCTGTCCCACCCTAAATGAAGACTATATAACCCAGACCCTTTCTTCAGCCCTCTGTCATTTTCTGCCCTGAAAATGAGCCACACCAGGAATACTGAATAGGTAAGAGCTTGCTTCTCCTGCCTCCATTACTGTGTGCGCCATGGACTTATATTAAGCAGAAGTAGATTCTACTAGATAATTTTACATCTTTTAAAATATCTTTCCAATTAGGACTCTTGAGTCTGTGCATACACTCACACACACACACAGACACCATTTTGTTCTTTGTTATCTTTAAGTACTCTTGCTCCTAATTGTTACTATATTAATTACTATATTATATGGATATCCTTACCTCACTTTGTGTTTTTGCTTTCCCAGTGCTTCCTGAAACTCATTCCTTTCACCATTGGAATGGCAGTGTTTATGTGTCAATTTAACTTGTTTATGTGTTAACTTAGTCTATATTTCCCAGTTACTCAATAAAACACAGGTGTTGCTGAGGAGGCCTTTTGTAGACATGATCTGATTACATAATCAGATGGTTTTCAGCAAATGAGATCATCCTGGATAATCTGAGTGGGCTTGATTCAATCACTGAAACACAAAGCCAGGTTCCCGGAAGGAAAATAGAATCCCACCTGTGCAGGGGAGCTTCCCTGCCAGGTTCATGGTCCACCAGCCCCACAGGATTGAGGACTCCTAGGTGCTGCTACAGGATGAACACATGCAGTTTCAATTCATTTGTTAAAGACCTTACTCAGGCAGGTACAGGTGTTAGAAGATGCAGCTCTTGAGAGTTGATTAGATTAGCAGGTGGTGTTCTCAGGAATGTGAGTAGGGGCCCTTGTGAAAGATGCCAGCAACTGGGGAGCCAGCCAGAGGGAGACTGGGAGAAGAAGGAGCACAGGGGAGAGGGAAGGGAAGGGGGAGAGGGAAGGGAAGGGGGGAGAGGGAAGGGAAGGGGGAGAGACCCCCTCTCTGCCATCTGCCTAGTGTGGTTACAAAGGTTACTGAGAAGCTGGTTTTCTATGAAGTGAGTCCTCACTATGCACTCAATCTGCCTGGACTTCCCAGCCTCCAGAACTGTGAGAAATGAATTTATGTTTTAAGTCATTCAGTCTATAATATTTTGTTATAGCAGCCTGAGTGGACTAGGACACACACATAATAAATGTAGTGTGTGTGTATGTATGTGTGTGTGTGTGTGTGTGTTACACAAAACACATGCATTGGTAGGTGTGGTGGTGCACACCTGTAATCCCAGCTACAAGGAGGCTGAGGAAGAAGGATCACCAAGTTTGAGACCAGCCTGGGCAATCTGAAACAAGACCTTGTTTCAAACAATAAAATAAATAAATAAATAAATAAAATACTGGGGATGTGGCTCAGTGATAGACTACCCCTGGGTTCAATCCTTAGTAACAAAAAATAAAACAGTAAGTAAACAACATACATATACATAT